CAGATGAAAACCAAGCACATTGAGGGCATTTTGTTTTCACAGTTGGAAAGAAACTCCAACTAACGACATCCCAATTGAATGCACCTTTTCCATTGTACATGATACTGCTGGAATATCAAAAGGAACTTCAATAACATTGAACTTGACAGACAATCAAGAAAGAGAAAATTTTTACCATACTTCTTATGTTCACGAAGGTTTTATTTCTGCTGTTAGTTTATTAAATGATTTGATGAAAATATTTGTTGGTCTTGGTATATCCAATCGTGTTATTTTAAAAGTCTTAGAATCTGATTGTTATTGCAAAAATAGTATTTCTCAATAAGTAGACCAATATTTGTTGGTTTAAATATGAATTGAGAGGTTTCCATGATTTTATTTTAAGAAATATTACCATTAGTCAATATCATATTTACAGAAAACAAATGAAAAAAATGCTTTTTATCAAAAATGGAGCATTTATATATAGCAAAAATGGTAGTTAACCAAGAAAAAGAAAGGTTCAGATACAGCACCCTTAAATTAGTTAAAAAAGATTTTTAGTGCCTTAACACCATTTCAATTATTTTTTTTTGTTGACCAGTGGAATAATCATATTAATAAATAAATAAATATATATAAACAAATAAGAAAAAAAAATCAACAATAACAACATTTACTCACTTTCATTCGTTAAGCATTAAATTATATCACTTAGCATCCTCCATATTTTACCTTGATTTTCCAGTTAGCCTGATGAATATTTATGAGTGTTCTTAAATTTTCAATTTTTTACTTCTGTTTGTGAATAGATGCCGCAAAATAAAATCCTTACATTAGCCTTGATAAAGTCCACCAGAGGATGAAATGTGTCGTTAAAGAAGTTTTTCTTCAATCTGTATTCATACGGTCATTTTACAGATATATATTTTATTCATGTCTGAATTTTTACACATAGATTGCATTGTTTAAAAATTTTTGAAGCTTATAGAAATATCACAGGTCTGTTTTTGAATTAAATTCTTTTTTTTTAATCATTTCACCCCAAGCAAGTCAGGAATGCCACTGGTACACAGAGGGTTACAAAAAGTGAAAGTGGGGGAAAAGACTGGGTAAGGGGGAACTGAGGAAAGGATAAAAGCTGAACATGGTTCAAGAAGATAGAAAATGGTGACTGACATTTTATTTAAATTTTTATGTTTGTAGTTATCAGGGAAGCAAGGAAACGGAAGGGATTTTGATAGGGGGTAAGTGCGAGAAAAATAACTATTGGGGTAGAATTGGTGGTTAAATCTAACTAATTCAATGGTAAAAGAGTGGGACCTAGATGCCAATCTAGCAGCACACTTAAACCCATGTAATCCAGTCACTAGGAAGAAAAAAAACAGGTCGAAGCAGTTGCCATGAAAATATTTGTAGAAAAGACAGAAGGAAGCCATGTCATGTTTGTGAGAAAGAGACCGAAGTTGAGATGCCATGTCAGGATCGATCAAATTGCAGATTCTTCTTTGGATTTTGTCAAGAACCTCGAGATAAGTAGCAGGAGCACAAGAGCAGATATGGCAACAGTATTCAATGCACGGACGAATGGTAGATTTGTAAATGTGTAAGATGGACTATGACGAGAAAAACCTGGCATGATACAGTGACCCAACTTTTCTTACAGTAGTACAGCTAGTGATTCAATGTAGTCTAGTTGAAAACGTGAGGCCAAGAAGTGGCAGTGCGTTGCTGTCCATGAGTCTAGCATCAGCCATGGCAGTCAGGAAAGATTCTCAATGGTGGTTGAATGAAAGCAGTTTCGTTTTGGAGGCATTAAAATTTACAAGCCATTTCCTGCCCCAGTTAACCACAGATTGGAGGTTCTTTTCAAGAGTAGTGGCCAGGTTAAGTTTGTCGGCTCTGGCAGATTTGCTATGGAAACAGGAGTAAATGGTAGTGTCATCAGCATAAATGCCTACTTGGGAATTGATGACATATATACATGTGCAAACATAAACACAATTTGAATGAAACTGAAATGGCCATCTGTGAAACAGGGGATAAATTTCCCTTTCTGTTTGGCAACAATCCCTGGTAACAGGAAAAGAGTATAAGTTGAAATGTGCAGACCTTTGAAGTAATTTTTCTGACACCTTCTGTATTTAAACAGATTATCTTTTCACTCTATGTCTCTAAGATGAGGTATTATGATTACTTGCATTATTTACATTATTCAAACTGTTATCCTCATCTTCATTGCCATATTCACAATGTTTTAGCCGTTGCACGCTCTAGCCTTCTTCAGGTGATTAAAATTTTGAACCAGACCCTTTATTTTGTCCTAGAATGTTCTAGTTCCACGTGCCAGGGTTGATTGTTCTAGTTCCACGTGCCACACCTCTTCCAGATGTCTCAGTTATCACTACTAGGCTATGTATCCTCAGGGACACATGGTCCAGTGGATAAAGGCGTTAGTTAGATTCAGTGACTAGACCCAAAGAGCTGTGAGTTCAATACCAGGCTATGGCGAACCAAAAACTTGCAGAGTGATGAAATAAAGGGTTCAGTTTGAAATTCCAATCACCTGAAAAAGGCCGGAGTATACAATGGCTGAAACGTTGCGAATATGGCAATGAAGATGAGGATAACAGTCTGAATAATGGAAATAGTGTAAGAATATCTTTTCTAATAGATGTTGTATCTAATATAAGCAATTTAGATTGGAAATTTTATCATCCTGTGTCAGAATCAAAAAAAAATACCAATGGTATTTTACAGGCATAAGGATATAAGAAAGATAAAAAAATAAAAAAAATAAAGTGAAAGGTTCGGTATTTACATACCGCCACCAAACCCTACATAAGCACCCCCACTCTTCTGTTAACTGCAACAACTAGAAATTAGCAACACATAAGATTTGGAGAGGGTGGTCTCAACCGACAATAGTGAGACACGCCCCATCAAGGGATGTATGGGGTGTCATGTCTAGGCCTTTCATAACCCCCTCCATCTGATCATTGCTCCCCACACACAATTTAAAAAAAAAAAAGGAAAGAAAAAATATATGAATGATATAAGACATATCGTCTTTTGGATGCAACAAGACATGACAGGGCAACATTCCTGAGTCTTTTATGTCAAAGTGTAGGACAGGTGACGGATGTCAAAAATTATTCTGATTTGTCCAATAACAGCAGAGGAAGTCAGCATGGTGTAGTCCAAACACAAACAAGAACTACACAAAACATAAAAGCTTGGAAATATACATATATATATATATATATATATATATATATATATATATATATGGGATAACAATATATCAATTTTTTATATGTCAAGAAGAATTTTAGGGAAAATACGTATGAAAAACTTTTTCCACTTGGTCACAGTTCTTTCCCCACCACACACACGCATATATATACATACATATATATATATATATATATTAAAATAATAAAGAACAATGAGATTTATAATTCAGAGTTCTTAGCATTTAACACCAAATTCCCATGTTTCAAAACTGAAAATTCAATTCAAATTCAATCATAAAAATTAAACTTAAAATACAAAGTTCTGTTCCATTATCAAACAATGCTAAGAAGGTTTTTAGCATCACTTGATGAGGAAATGGATCTTTGTATTTTTAATTTTAAAACTATAATTGAATTAAATTGAATTTCAGACAAAGCTATCAAATTTTGATATTAATGATGATATGTTTAAAAAAAACAATTATAATATAAATATATATATATATATATATATATATATATATATATATATATATATGCATGTATAGCTAGCCACTTGTATTTGAGGATACCTGTTTACTAGGGTGGCTAGCCAATCCGTATTGCAGATGCTTGATCAGGTGCATTTGTGTCTATTCAACATCCACAAAGCCCAATTGTAGTTTATACTGCAACTATGCTGAGCAAACTGTAGTTATAGTTTCTGGAAAAGAGTGTGTTATCTAGCCTGATCAACAATTTGAACAAGGCCAGCACACTCAAGCCCTCGGTCATGATGACTTGTGACTTTGTGCTAGCACAGCTATCAATGGCACCCAAGGGTTCCATCTAACCAATTTCACTCACAAGGCTTGGGTCAACCCGTGGTATGGTTTTCAGGCACTTTCCAAAGGTACTGCACGCTGGGATCGTCCCCCTCCAGATCAATAACATCAGGAAGTCTCCTTCCTGACAAATCAACCCTGGTGAGATTTGAACCCGGGTCTCATGGTCAGAATGCGAATAGATTTTATACATGTTTTATTAAAGACGACAGACAAGGTACTACAATTAAGCATTTCATTTAATTTTTCTCGTGTTTTCTCTTTTGGACACAGAGTGTGTAGGAACTGTACCCAAATGTTCTATAATTCTGAGTGTTTTCAGCTATACTTTTAGCTATTATCAAGGATGAGTTTATTTTTGCTTTTTAATTGGGTGTATGGGTTGTGTGTATGTTTTTAGAGTTCCATTAAAACTAATGGCAGTATTAATAAGAAAAAAGAAAAACGCCAACATTTAATAGTATTAACTACAGCCACAATGTGCTGTGTTCAGAAAATAAAACTTCCCTATAACTATAAAAACATACACACAACCCATACACCCAATTAAAATCATGGATCAATTTCTTAGTATTGTTATTAAAACTGATTAAGAAAAAAAACGTAGTTTTTGTTATTTCTATTATTTCCCAAGTACTTTCAACCTCATCCAAGATCATCTTCAGGAGTGAATTGCTAAGACAAAAAAATTAATGTTACTGATAGCTGTAATTTTTTTGTAAATGTGCAGGAAACGCACTCTGTTACAGTTATGAACCTGTATGAATACGTTCATTGTATTTTTCATGTTGTTCTTTCACTGGTTAGACTGTTGTGACCTCTTGGGTGATTACTGCTATGAGCTTTGAAAACAAGACTGATCAATAGTGTCTGGAGGTGTATTTATATTATGCATGCAGATATAAATGACTTTGAAGAAGAAGTAGGAGGAGGAGGAGTAAAAGGCAAAACTCAGACTTACTTAGCTTTTGCTCGACGTTCCATATAAAAATTATGAAACTTTATATCTCGTTTATCGTAAGCATTCTTTGCATAATCTCGTGCCTTGCTGTGAAAGAGAAATAAAAAAAAACAAATCAATTAAAAAGGAGGAAAAGAATGAATCCATAAATGAATGACAAAAATGGGTAAAAGAAATCCCATATAACAATTTTTGCCCTTGAATTCAACACCATCATTTGATAAAACACCAGAAATGTTGATACAAAATGGCTATTTTTGTAGTAATTTTATAACATTTTTATATTATAGTTTTTCGAATAAATGATTATATATATATATATATATATATATATAATCATTTTTCGAAAAAATTATAATATAAAAATGTTATAAAATTGAATAAATGATTATATATATATATATATATATATATATATATAATCATTTTTCCAAAAATTATAACATAAAAATGTTATAAAATCACTACATATATATATATATATATATATATATATATATATATATATAATTCTGGTAAAATATAATGCATAGTATTAACACTGTAAATATAAACACTGTAGAGAAAGTTTCCAGTGGGCTGAGGATTTCAAGAGGAGTAATGATATAAATGAGACAATTCATGATTGGCTGTAAGGAAATTCAATAAAGTTGAGGAGTGCAGATAGCCTTGCTAATGCAAATGATAGCCAAACAGATTTCCAAGCGACAACCTGTTGCTGAAAACAGAAATACCATTAATGCTATTGCGGAATATAAATCCTTGGGAAGGACTATGTAATGGAACAATGCTTATGTTCGACAAACTTACAGACAACAGACTACTACAATGTACTGTCTTTGAAACAGGGCAGGTGGTATTAATCCCAAGAATAAAGTTTATTCCTAAACCATCTGAATATCCTTTTGAATGGACATGAATCCAGTTCCCAGTTCCTCCTGCATTTGTGAGAACAATAAACAAATCACAAAGCCAAATGTTTCAAAAAGAATTTGGCTCCAGAAAGAAATATTTCTGTATGGCCAGTTTATGCTGCATGCTCAAGAGTAAGAAATTCTAACAATTTATTCTTTGCTGTTGTAAAGGAAAAAAAATTCCTATAAAGTTAAATTAAAGAAATTATTAAACCACAAAGTAGGGTTTTTGCCAAAGTATATTTCCAAAAAAAAAATCACCTGATTCAAATTTCATTGGTAGGTTTACAAAATCGAATGAAACGTAGCGGTTGTAAATCCCAACAAAAAATGTTTGCGATAACTTCAACAATATTAAATACTGTGAGGATTTCAACATGCTTCAGCATATTGCAAAAAGATTCTAGTTCCGTTAAAAAGAAATATTCACATCAATATTAAGCACATTTTTGTCTGCTTCCTTCCTATCATTGTCAAACATCGATGTCATAAAAGTAACAACTGTGTTGTCAGCATAGTAAAAGTTTTCACACTCTTTGATATTGTTATGGTCATCAGAGCTGTTTCAAATTAAAGGTATACTGTAAATAAGCCTGTGTTTTTTTAATCATTTCACCCTAACCAAAGCAATAAAGCCATTTAGATGCAAGGGCTACTTAGTGTGAAAGAATATCAGAAAAAGAAAAAAAACGTTATTAAGGCAAAAGAACAATAAAAGAAAAAAAAACAGCCTTCCTTATCAAATCATGTAATGAAAATGGTCTTGAATGGCCACTCTTCTAGATCTTTTTGTATTAATGCAGGTGTTCCCTGGTGCCCTATACTTGGACCTACATTGTTTCTCATTTTCATTAACCTTCCTGATTTTGTTAGTTCTCAACTCAGTATCTATGGTGATGACACAACTATTTACTCCTGTGTTAACAGTAAGTCTTATTGCTTTGATAAAGTCAAATTGGCAGTTGATCTAAAAAATGACTGACAATCTGTTGTTAACTGGGGCAAGGAATGGCTTCTTTATTTTAATGCATCCAATATGAAACTGCTCTCTTTTAAGCATCTGATGCTAACCTCCAGGTGAGTCAGTGCATCTTCTCAGACTAATGTTTTCCACTGACTTGAAGTTGAAAAATTATATCTAGGTCTGCTACTAGTAAAATTGTTTCATTGCGCCATGCCAAAGAATTTTTCTCTACAGAATCTGTTTCACATATTAACAAATCTACCATTCATCCATGCTTTGAATACTCCTGTCACATCTGATCTATTACTTTTGCTATATATTTAGAGATTCTTGATAAAATCCAAAGAAGAATCTGCAATGTTATCAGTCCTGACCTCAGATCTTGGCTTCAGCCACTTTCCCACCGCTGTAACATAGCTTTCCTTTGTCTTTTCTATAAATACTTTCATGGTAATTGTTCAGTTTGCTTTGTTTACTGCATATCATCCTCAATGGGTTATTTAATGCCAACATGATTTTTATTGCTGGTAATTATTTTACAAAAAAGTACTGCTGTATTAAAACCTATTTTTACAATTACATAATGTTCAAACCCTAGTTTAGGAGGGGTTAACTATTTGCCCATAGCTGGGACCCTAACAGGTGCTACCACCCCGGATCAAGGTGGACCTGGGAATACCAGCAATTCAAAGGTGGTTCTGTGCTCCTCAAAGCCTCCTGATCAGAGGCCTTGCTATTGGATGTAGTTTATTGTCTTATCCAGGTTGCGGATGTAGTTTATCGTCATACCCAGGACGGGCAATTGTTCAGATGATATCTTTATGAATTTAAGCACAGTACTAGATTGTCAACAAGACCTCCTCATTTTTCAGTTGAAATGGCTAAATGGAACCATAAGTTCTATGCTAGCAGTTCCTTCTCATGCACTATTTTTCTATCTTCTTGCTGTCCAGTCAACTTTGACCTTTGAAAATTTTAATGCAATGTCAATCATTATCCTCTGTCTTCTTCATTACTGTTCTTTTATTGTCCTCTCTGTTACAGTTTTTTTGGATATAACTATGTACTAGTGAGTCAGTCAAAATGAGCTGCCTCATTTTATAGTTCACCAATAGAAGGGTTAACCAATTATAAAGCTCAAAATATTCAATGCAACCTGTATAAAGGCAGCCATTTTGTTTTTTCTCCCAAAATATCTCCAATGCCAACCTGATATCGAAGATGTAAAGAATTAGTGGTCGCTACTTTCTCCGAATCTACATTGCCAACCTCTGATATTGAAGAGATTACAGACTTCACTAGATCCCATATTCAGAGACTACGGCAAACATGGTCAACACTCTCTCCTTAATAATGTTTTTCTTTTTCTTATTCTTTCACACTCAGTAATCCATTGCATCTTAGTGGCTTTATTGCCTTGTTTGGAATGAAATAATAAAAAAAAAGACAAAAGATTGACATTGCTTTTAAATCTTTGAATATCAAAGTTGACTCGAAAGCAAAGGCTGAAAGAAAGTTCTACAAGTGAGAAAGACAAGAAACTTACAGTTACATCTATTTCAATCTTAAAATGATGAAACCTCATTGCGCTTAATTTTGGAGTATCGAGGTACCAAAGAAGAAAGTTCAGTGGAACAATTACCATGAAAATATTTAGAGAACAGCCTCACACTGCTCTATCGCTATTTCCATGGCAAATGTCCTGACAAGCTACATCCCCTAGTTCCCCCAGTTCAGACCTTCACAGCTAAGATCCACTATGCTATATACACAAGCCATTCATATTCCACTGATAAGAAGGAAGATCTACTCAGACATCATCTTTTCAAGAACTGCTACTTTGCAGAACTGATTACCAAGAGAATGCTTTTCCAATTATTACAATCTTAACAACACCAAACCTAGGGTTAAATATTATCTTTCCTATATATCCTTAAAATCAGCACTTCTTATCTCCTCTTACAACAACCTCATTCAGAAATGTTCTATCTTGAGTGACTCTTGGTCCTTTTATTGGGTGAACATTCAGTAAAAATGTTATTGGTGCAGAGAATAGTCAATCAGAACAGGTCATAATTTTTTTAAACTCATGCACAGTAGAATCTCTCTTTATTAAGGCTCAATTTCCCTTCAAAATGTAGACGATCATGTCTCTCCACAGCTTCCATTTCTTTAATATTTGTAAATTGGGCATTACCATAATTGTTCTTGAGAGAGATATGTGAGGGGTTTCGCAGTGGCTCCTCCACAGTTTTGAATTCAGATTTGACATTCTCCTCAGTTGGTTGCCAACAAATATGACTGGTATAAAGTCTTGTAAAAATTTCATGACCAAGAGTATATTTTTACTGCATGTTTTAATATGATCCTAAGACTTCAAGTCATTCACTCGCTCTGAAAATCCTGACTATAAGTTATTTGGTTAATGTTATGGTTTTGTAGAAATTTAAGAGAAATTTGTGAAACTAAGAGAATAGCATTGAAGGATCAAGAGAATGGCAGTAAAGGTCATAAGACTGAAAGTTCAGAAGAATTGTATTGAAAGATCAGGAGAAAAATACTAAATGGTCAGGAGAATGGCATGAAAACGTCTGGAGAATGACATTGAAAGGTCAGAAGAAAAATACTGAAAGGTTACAAGAATGGTATTAAAATGTCTGGAATAGCATGAAAAGGTCAGGAGAATTCCATTGAAAGATCAGGAGAAAAATACTAAATGGTCAGGAGAATGACATTGAAAGGTCAGAAGAAAAATACTGAAAGGTTACAAGAATGGTATTAAAATGTCTGGAATGGCATGAAAATGTCAGGAGAATTCCATTGAAAGATCAGGAGAAAAATACTAAATGGTCAGGAGAATGACATGAAAACGTCTGGAGAATGACATTGAAAGGTCAGAAGAAAAATACTGAAAGGTTACAAGAATGGTATTAAAAAGTCTAGAATGGCATGAAAAGGTCAGGAGAATTCCATTGAAAGATCAGGAGAAAAATACTAAATGGTCAAGAGAATGGCATGAAAACGTCTGGAGAATGATATTGATAGGTCAGAAGAAAAATACTGAAAGGTTACAAGAATGGTATTAAAATGTCTGGAATGGCATGAAAAGGTCAGGAGAATTCCATTGAAAGATCAGGAGAAAAATACTAAATGGTCTGGAGAATGATATTGATAGGTCAGAAGAAAAATACTGAAAGGTCACAAGAATGGTATTAAAAGGTCTGGAATGGCATGAAAAGGTCAGGAGAATGGCATTAAAAATTCAGGAGAAAAACATGAAATGGTCAGGAGAATGGCATTGAAAGGTCAGAAGAATAATACTGAAAGTTCATGAGAATGGTATGAAAGTTTACAGTAATATTAAATTTTTAATTTTGTTGTTAAGTGAATAAAAACATTTGATTTACCTCAAAAGAAGAAAATGGATGGAACAACCAATGAGAATCCACACAATAATTCCTACTAAAATGTAGGAATTGGGTTGGCGTTTCAAGCCTTTCATGCCATAATAAGCTTTGTCTTTGAACCCACTGTCTTTGCTCTTGTCTCTCATTGACCAGATGGTCTCATCCCAAAACACATGTTCGTCAGCCTCCCTAAAATGTAAAAAAAATAATAAATGTAAATAAATAATAGCCTGTTCATATGGGTCAGACAAAAAGAGGTCATTGGTAAGGTTGTGTGGGGTTCTATGATGTCTGGGTAAAAATAAGTCATGACTTTGTTGTGGGATTTAACAATATTGATATGAGTGTGTGGAGATTTTATAGTAAATTTTTATGCGCTCCTCAAATATTTGTCCTGCAAACAATATTGGTGGACTCATATGAGTCTGGATAAAAACAAGTAGTATAACAAGGAATTTAAAACAAGTAGCAATTATATACATGTATTAATAAAAGTATTTGCATGTGTACAGAACTGAAATAAAAGGCAAAGACATTGAAACAAGCTATAAGAATGTGCTTCTTGCATGTGTATATGTGCATGTGTGAGAGAGTTCAGTTAACAGAGGACCAAGGAAGCAAACATGCCTCATCGGCTTCATCCATATCTGATTCTATCTGGAAGCAAGAGGGGGGAAAAAAGTGAAAGAGAGATATGTTTGTGTCTTTATAAACGTAAATCATTCAGTCAGTTATGTACCAAGCATGATACACACTTAGGCTATCATGTATCTTTCGATACATGACTGACGAGGCAGATTTTTTTCCCGTAGTTGCCAATTTTTTCTGCAGTAGCCCAGTTGCCATCAGTCTGCCATGCCATTTAATCATAGCTTGGGGGGAGAAGAAAAGCATTTGTACCTTTCGCAAGAGTATTAGCACCTAAGTGAATGTAATGGATTTGACTGGAATTCAAACATGGCTCTCTGATTCCTCAATCAAAACCACTATCTACTTCTCTCTCTCTCTCTCTCTCTCTATATATATATATATATATATATATATATATATATATGTATGTACTGTTTTTGAAGACAAAATTACTGTTTTTTCAGTGGTTTGTAATAAGGAGGCATTTCAAGCATGAATACTTTGTAGTAGAGTGTGCAATAGAGTCAAATAGAGTCAGTCAGTTATGTGCCATGCGTGATACACGCTGAGGCAATCATGTATCTTTTAATACATGACTGATGGGACAGATTTTTTTTCCCCACAGTAGCACATTTCTTTCAAAGCTATAGAACCCGGTCTGTCCTGATATTTATCCATAGCTCAAGGGAGAAGAAGAGGATTCATACCTTTTCCAAGGGTATTAGCATGTAAGTGAATGTAATAGATTCGACTGGAATTTGAACTCGGCTCTCCAATTCCTCAATCCGAGCCGCAATACATTACTCTAACATGCCTCCATATATAGCACCACCTAATTGGTGTTTTTGTGAAAGTCAAGTGGCATATTTCATAAGGCTAAGAAATTAATTCTAATCATTTTGTTTTTTTATGGCTTTAGAAGCATTCACTTTAAACTTCATTCAAAACAACTTCTTTTGATTAGACTGTGACAAATGTGTTTTTAATGTTCAGTTTTTTAGTTTCTGTCATATTTCTGTTTTGTGTTTATTAATTTTGAAGATGGGATAAAACAAGCAGTATTTTCAGCACATTATGCTTTTGAGAAAGTTAAAAATGCAACTTAAAAGCTAAAATGATTCATGCAAATATGTGGTATTTGGTAAAAGTATTCTTAACAACAATGCTTCATGTAAAAAATTCAGATAATTTAAAAACATATATATATATATATATATATATATATATATATATGTTACTTGGAGGTATAAGTATGCAACAAAAATAAATGATAAACTAGTCAAAAAATTAATAATGATGATAATATTTCATCTCAAACTTCCAGACAAATTAAAACTATTACTACTATGTATAAATAAGCAACAAAAATAAGAAGAAAGATAAACTAGACAAACATTTATTAATAGTAATAATAACCATGCTTCATCTAAGAAATTCAAAAAAATTAAACTATTATATGTATTACTACTAGGTATAAATAAGCAACAAAAATCATAAGAAAGATAAACTAGTCAAAAATGTAATAATTATAATGCTTCATCTAAAAAATTCCGACGAATTAAAACTATTTTATCTATTACTACTCGGTATAAATATGTAACAAAAATAAGATGAAAGATAAACTAATTTAATAATGATAATAAGAATAACAATGCTTCACTATTTACATTATTTGAACTATTGTCCTCATCTTTGTCGCCATATTTATTACAACGTTTCGGCCGTTGTACACAAGGAAAGGACACATGGCACAGTGGATAAAGGCATTGGTTAGATCCAGTGACAGGACCCAAAGAGTGTGAGTTCAATACTTGGTTAAGGCAGTGGAGAAATTGGAGAGGGGAATTAACAGGAGATAACTGATATCCATTAAAAACATGGCATGTGGAACTAGAACAGTCTACCCCAGTGAGCGAAATAAAGGGTTGAGTTTGACATTCCAACTACCTGAAGAAGGCTGGAGCATACAACAACCGAAACGTAATAAATATTGTGACAAAGATGAGGGCAATAGTCTGAATAATGTAAATAGTGTGCATAATACCTCATCTCAGAAATATTGTCTATATTTCTGAGATGAGGTATTATGTACACTATTTACATTATGCTTCATTTAAGAAATTTAGACAAGAATATTAGGAATAAATAAGTAATAAAACTAACTGTTTCTCAAATACAGCCTAACCTAAGCTTAGTAAATATCACATAGGGTACTTCACCCAAAAGAGGAGGTTGATAAGCTAGTATCAAATAACATGACCACTGTAATAAGTATGATCAACTCTCGGTGCCCCATAAAGACAACCTTGAGCCAGACTAACATAAGTTTGAGATCAAATCAAATACCACACCCTAAAATGGTGAGTAACAATCTAGTATTAAATAACATTACTTCGATCCTCACTGGGTGCCACACATTTCTGGCCTTGCCCTGTACCAAGCTTAGTAAATAAAATCTTTCACAAGTTCCAGTTTGTGATTCTTTAAAAGTCGTTTCACTCCACCCAGAAGCCATGACTCGCGGCTCTGTAATCAGAGAGGCACCAAAAGAAAATGTCAGAGATACATAAGACTTCTATTTGTATACGCACATGTATGGACAAATGCTATGAATAGTGCAATTGTTATATGCGCAAATTTCTTTTGTAGAGACATGAATAGACCCACAGAAAAAGGCGACGCTACCAAAATTATAATAGTAACCCATTTCTGACAATGGCTGAAATGGTTTCAAAACAGTCAGTAGATAAAACACCTGTACAAGCAGAGATGAGAATATACATTCACAGTAGCAGTCCAGGTTCAAGGTAAAATAATAATTAAAAAAAAAGTTTGAGCTATAAAGAGGATCTATTTTGGCAACATTCAATACAGATTAAATAGTGACTGATTGATTGTTTATTTAATAGCATATCAACACCTTATCGGTCATTTAATACCAAAATTTATTTTTCTTGGGAGCTTTGAAGTAATATAATTAAGATATGTGTTATTCTGCTTTCACAATTGTATACATGGTAGATGATACTCAGCTTTTGTGCAAATACATGTTTGTGCAGACATGATTACTAGAGGTGGTGATGTGTGTTTTATGTTGTAGTTTTGCTAAAGTTATATTTTGGAATACAGTTTGATTTCTTTAAGAAATTGTCAGAGATTATATGGATTAATATCAGGAAAGAATTATTTCATGTCGGTTGATGTAGTGTTGGTAATTTTATGATAAATAAATATTGTTGGTAATTTTAAGGTGGTTTTTTAAAGAAATGCAGTACTTGTGTGTGTGTGTGTCTATATTTCTGAGATGAGGTATTGTAATTATTTATAGTATTTACATTGTTCAGACTGTTATCCTCATTTTCATTGCTGCATTCACGACATTCTGGCCAGTATATACTTCGGCCTTCTTCAGGATCTGTCTATATTTCTGACATGAGGTATTGTAATTATTTATAGTATTTACATTGTTCAAATTGTTGTCCTCATCTTTGTTGTCATATTCATGACATTTTGGCCCAACTTCCACATGCCATGCCTCTTCCAGATGTCTCAGTATCACTTATCTTCCTTTAACTCAACTCTCCAAGATTTTGTTCGTCTCTACCATAGCCAGGGATTGAACTCACAACTTTTTTAATCTAATCACTGGATTCAACCAATGCTACAGCAGAGGTGAAAAAAAAACTTGGAGAGTTGAGTTAAAGGAAGATAACTGATACTGATACATCTGGAAGAGGCATGGCATGTGGAAGTTGAACAATCTACCCTGGTGGACAAAATAAAGGGTTAGGTTGAAAATTCCAATCATCTGAGGAAAGCCAGAGCATACAATGGCTGAAACGTTGTGAATATGGCAATGAAGATGAGGACAATAGTCTGAACAATGTATTTAAAAATTATAATTCAAACAACTATCTACCTACAACAATATTACCTGGAATTATACTTTACTTAAATCAACCATGATTTTAAATGTTGCAACGTTTCATAACTGCTTATAAAAAGTAGTAATTTTACTATAAATATGTATTGTTGGTAATTTTACTACAAATATGTATTGTTAGTAATTTTACTACAAATATGTATTGTTGGTAATTTTACCACAAATATGTATTGTTGGTAATTTTACTACAAATATGTATTGTTAGTAATTTTACTATAAATATGTATTGTTGGTAATTTTACTACAAATATGTATTGTTAGTAATTTTACTATAAATATGTATTGTTGGTAATTTTACTACAAATATGTATTGTTGGTAATTTTACTACAAATATGTATTGTTAGTAATTTTACTACAAATATGTATTGTTAGTAATTTTACTACAAATATGTATTGTTGGTAATTTTACCACAAATATGTATTGTTGGTAATTTTACTACAAATATGTATTGTTGGTAATTTTACTATAAATATGTATTGTTGGTAATTTTACTACAAATATGTATTGTTAGTAATTTTACTACAAATATGTATTGTTAGTAATTTTACTATAAATATGTATTGTTGGTAATTTTACTACAAATATGTATTGTTAGTAATTTTACTACAAATATGTATTGTTAGTAATTTTATTACAAATATGTATTGTTGGTAATTTTACTATAAATATGTATTGTTGGTAATTTTACTACAAATATGTATTGTTGGTAATTTTACTACAAATATGTATTGTTGGTAATTTTACTACAAATATGTATTGTTGGTAATTTTACTACAAATATGTATTGTTGGTAATTTTACTACAAATATGTATTATTGCTAAATTTTAAATAAAAATTGCTGGTATTTTTAGTACAAAAATATATTTTTATACTATTATTGTTTTTTATTTGGGGGTTCACTTTTTGCCCAGAGCTAGGACCCTAACAGGTGTAAAGGTGAACCTGGGAACAACAGTAATTAAGAGGTGGTTCCACACTCCTCAAAACTTCCAATCTCACAATCAGAGGCCTTGTTACCAGATGCAGTTTATCATCATACACAGGACTAGAGATTTAATAGTTTATAAGAAGGAGAAAGGAAGAATATTTTCTTACCAGACTTATTCAACCTTTAAAGTGAAGCGATCCTGAAAGAATTAAAAGACATACCAGGATATATTATTGGCAGCCACAATCTTAGCAACACTTAACATGCAAATGACACAGTGTTAATTGCAGACACAAACAGGAATCTACAAAAAAACTCCGACAGTAGGTAAAAAAGGAAGGCAAAAAGAAAGGACTAAATACCAACTGTAAGAAAACAGAACGCATGGTTTGCCAGCAAAAAGAAGAGCCCAAAATGCAAATTACAAAATGGAAATGCCTAAGTCAAGAGGAGGCACAGTGGAGTAATGGATTGTGGCTCGGATTGAGTAATCAGAGAACCAAGTTCAAATCCATTACATTCACTTACATCTTAATACCCTTGGAAAAGGTATGAATCCTCTTCTTCTCCCTTGAGCTATGGATAAATATCAGGACAGACCTGGTTCTATAGCCTTGAATGGCAACTGGTCTACCGCAAAAAGAAATGGCAACCTACTGCAGGAAAAAATCTGCTTCGTCAGTCATGTATCAAAAGATACATGATCGCCTAAGCGTGTATCACACATGGCACATAAGGGGGGCATTAGTTAAAAAACCAAAAAAATCTTATTGTTTTACCAACCAAATCAACTATTCTGTTTATTAAATGTCATCATGTAACACGTGATTGATCATGGCCCTCCACAACGTCCTACTTTTGGGCCTTGTAAAAGGGAGCATCCTGGAGGCACAGTTGGGTAATGGATAGCGATACAGATTGAGTAATTGGAGAACCAAGTTCAAATTCCAGTCGAATCCATTGCATTCACTTATGTGCTAATACCTTTAGGAAAGGTATGAGTCCTCCTCTTCTTCTCCTCCCAGCTATAGGTAAATAGCAGGACAGACTGGGTTCTATAGCTTTGGATGGCAGAAAAAAATTGGCAACCTACTGCAGAAAAAAATCTGCCTTGTCAGTCATGTATCGAAAGATACATGATCGTCTAAGCATGTATCATGCATGGCACATAACTGACTGAAGTCAAGCAAATATCAGTTATTAACAGATGATGGAAAGTATGCATTGGGATAGTGAAATATGCCTTTCAAAAGCTAAGCAAAGTATGATACATTAAGGTAGGAAGGAGGAGAAAGAAAGAAAAAAGAAAAGAAAGAAAAAAGGAAGTGAGAATGAAGAAGTGAAAGAAGAGAAAGAGAAAGAAAAGAGAAAAGAAAACAAAGATGAAGGAAAGAAAAATATGCAAGTGAGAGAAGAAAGAAAAAAGAAAGAAAGAATAAATAAAAATGGAAGAAAAAGAAAAGAGGAAAAAGAAGAAAAAAATAGGAAGTGAGAAAAGAAAGAAAAAAAATAGAAAAAGTAAAGAAAAAGAAAAAAATAGAAGAAGAGAAAAAGAGGGTAAAAAGAAAGAGAGAAAAAAGAGGGTAAAATAGAAGAGAGAAAAAAAAAATGGAAGAGAGAAAGAAAAAGAAAAAGAAAGAGAGAGAGAAAAGAAAAATAGAAGAGAGAGAGAAAAAAGAGGGTAAAATAGAAGAGAGAGAGAAAAAAGAGGGTAAAATAGAAGAGAGAGAGAAAAAAGAGGGTAAAATAGAAGAGAGAGAGAAAAAAAGAACGAAAAATAGAAGAGAGAGAGAGAAAAAAAAGAGGGTAAAAGAGAAGAAATCATGGGAGAATGAAAAAGAAAAAGAATTTGTAAACAGATTCCAAAACTTGGCCGAATGTCAACTTGCCAGGAAAGAACAGACTGCCATCAGAATGCGGGAGTGAGATGTAAAAAAGATGGGGGGGGATGGGGAGTTAGAGTGAAGATTTTGGCTCAGAAAACAAAGGGAGAATGTTTTGCCAAGAGCAGCACACTTGTAAATACAACAACAAAAAAAAATGGTTGTAAAGTAGTAGGAACTCAAAATACAGACACATGCAGATTAAATACACACACACAAGAAAATCAAAATGCACTTCCTCTTGGTTAAGCGTCCACCCCATCTTCCTCATTTCCTGCCATCAACATCACCAAGCCTTTTTTCTCTCCCTTGGTGTTAAAAGCACACATAAAAAAATGCTAGAAAAAAATATTCTTTTTAAATAAATACTGACGAATACGCATGATTTTTAAAAACACAATAGCATTAGCCTTAAATTGTTTTCAACTTCAAAGAAAATATTCCTGTTGTGAGTTGGTTTGGATCCACTTTATTTTTGGTTAAGATGGTTGATTTGAACCCTGGTTGGTTTATTCAAAGTCATATTTCCTATATGGTACACAGTGGGTATCAAATACACTCCTCAATAGCTATGGTCAAACACACTAGCTTCACCAACCACTATGTCACACTGAAGAAACTATTTTTGCAGGGTGCAATAAGTAAATTGTCAACATTTTATATTTTCAATTTTGTATATGCCCGTGGCTGGTTTTTGATTTTGTTGACTGCAGAGTATAGTAAGGTCAGTTGGGCACCATCTCTGTGAAAAAGAGCACCATGATGCAATTCACTCCACCAGAAATTTGGAAACGGTGCTTGGCATTCCCGCCAGAAGCACCAATATGATAATTTCAGAGTGTTTGGGTGTCAAGCAGTGCTGAGGATTCGGAAAGTGTTGCATGAGTCTAATGGTGATTACGAAGTTCTTTGGAGTGATCACTAGTGATGGTGATGTTATACCTCCATTCATCTTCCTATAGGGCCTCAGACTCAACACGGAGGCTTACACCAAGTGCTTGAGTAGGTAGTGCTGCCCTGAGTCAAGAGGGTGGCTGCTGGAAAACTCTATGTCTGGCAACAGGACTCTGCACCATGCCACACACCAGAGAACCCAGTCACGGCTGTCAGACAATTTCTGTGACCACACTTACCTCTGGTCACTTAACTCAGACTGCAACCCCCTTGATTATTATGTGTAGTGTGCAGTTGAGTGAGAGATCAACAAAACTCCTTGTAATACCAAAGATGTACTGAAAGCAAGGATTATGGCTGCATTCACCAATTTAAACAAGGAGAACATCCAGAAGAGTTGCAGGAGATTCTGAAGTCATCTAAAGGCCATGATTGAAGCCAATGCTGATTTTATTGAATAAATTTACACTTTAGTATTTCAAGATATTTTTGTGCAATTTTGGTAAATATATCTGTTAAAATGAGATGTCAGTGTTATTTTCAGTTTTATGTCATTTAGACGACAATTTATCCATCGCGCCCTGGAGAATCCTGAATAATATAATCTGAAAACGACAATTTATCCATCGCACCTTGGAGAATTCTGAAGAGTCTAATCTGAAAACGATTCCCTTTCTCTGAATTTTCCTACCTTCAAGACAATTCTATTGGTTCTAGACAATTCTCCTAATGTCTAGTTGATTCCATTTTGGAATTTATTAATTCCCAGATATATTAATCCTTGGCTTATTGACTGTTGAATAAAATTCACAAGAGAAAAATTACAGTGAATTAAGGGACTGGAAGACATAGGTACCATTTTACAATAAGCATAAAAAAGACATCGATCCAGTTTTACACAAAGAATAAAATATGTAGCCTTAAGTCTAGTTTTCAAATAAGAATAAAAAAATGCAGTCATATGTCTAATTTTACAAGATTTACAAAGGTATATATAGATTTAGTTTTCCTCTAAAAGTCAAAAAGACAAATGTCCGGTTTTACCCTAAAAGTTAAAAAGGTAGAAATAAGTCTGGTTTTATAATGAGAATAAAAAATGTAGACATATGTCCTGTTTTGCTCCAAGAGTCAATATGACATTAGTTCAGTTTTATACTAAGAATAAAATGGGTAAACATAGGTGCAGTTTTATGCTAACAGTCAAAAAGACTAGGTCTGGTTTTACACTCAGAATAAAATAGGTAGACATAGGTTTGGTTTTACAATAACAAATACAATCTTAGACATAGGTGTGGTTTTACCCTAACAGTCATAAGAACATATGTCCATTTTTATGTAAAAGTTAAAAAGGTAAAAAAGTTTGGTTTTACAATAAAAGTAAAAAAAAATAAAAGATAGTCATAGCTTCGCTTTTACAATAAGAATCAAAAAGTTAAGCATAAGCCAGGTTTTTTACCAATGTTTCCAAATATTCAACTGACATGCGGCCCCTTTTTGATGAAGGGTCTTTGTCCTCTGCAGGGGATGTAGTCGACATTTTTTAAGTCATGCAATAAACATGAGTAATTTACATATCCACTATTCTTCAGATGTTCAACTCCCTTTGTACATTTGCTGTTATTAACAACGTTTCGAACAATGCCTTCTTCAGCTCTTGTCAGGTGAAATAATTAAAAAGATATATAGTAAAAAAAAAAAAAGCTCTAAAGTCACCCGTCTCTTTTTCCCATAGCTAAAACCTTGTGGATATGTGACATTATTCCATTATTTATACATTTATTAGTGCTGTTAACTTAAAGACCATTGGAAACTTGGACCCAGTCTTTAGAAGTAAACCTACAGGTTGATTCATCCTGGGTATGATGATAAACTACATCTGGCAGCAAGACCCCTGATTGGGAGATTGGAGGTTTTCAGGAGCCTGGAATCACATCTTAATTAGTATTGTTCACAGGGGTGGTGGTACCTGTTAGGGTTCCAGCTATGGGCAAATAGTGAATCTCCAAAACAAAAATCAACAGTACATTTTTATAATAAAATGACCAATAATACATTTTTATAGCAGAATGACAATCAGTACAACACAAAACAATATAAAAATACATTTTCTAATAATAGATAGATAGATAGATAGATAGACATACAGACAGACCAATATATAGGTAGATGGAAAGAGAGAGAGTGATATGAGTAGATGAACATAGGTGCAGAACCAAAATTGAAATAGATAGATGAATAAACAGACTGAGATAGGTAGGTAGATACATAGAGAGAGAGAGAGAGAGAGATAAAGAAAGAAAAAAGAAAAACTGTAATGAGATAGATTAAATATATAGATAGACAGAAAATAACAGACTGAGATAGATAGATACATAGAATAAACAGACTGAGATATATAAATGGATAGATAGAGAGATAAAGAAAAGAAAAACTATAATGAGATAGAAAGAAAATGATAGAAAGCTAGATAGAAAGATAGATTAGGGTTCCATTTATGGGAAAATAGCCCCCACCAAACAAAAATCAACAGTATATTTTTATAATAAAATGAGCAACAATAGATTTTTTTTATTTCAAAATGATGATAAATGCAACACTAAAAGAAAAAATATAAAAATACATTTTTATAGTAAAATTACCAATATATTTTATGATAAATGCAACACTAAAAGAAAAAATATAAAAATACATTTTTATAGTAAAATTACCAACAATATATTTTATGACCTATAAACTATATATCTAAAAAACATACATTTACCCCAAAAGTATAAAATTATGTACAAAATATATTCAGTTGAAGCCATAAAATTGCATTCAAAATATTTAGATTTCAGTATTGAATAACTCATAGAGGATGATATGCCGCTAAACAAAATCAACAACAACAACAAAGGTTGATGAGTCCTTTGTATATGTATTCTTAGATAAACTTCAGAAATGACCTCTTTAAAAAAAAAAAATTGAAAGCAATCCCTACTACTTTAAAAAACAAGTTCTACTGCTTTTATTGCTGGGGAAATGTCATGGTTTCACTTTGGGTAGCATACTCGTAATTTCTCTGTTCTTCATTCATTTTCTGAGCTGGCATTATCCGCCTGATAGTCAAGGATCCGAAACTTAGATTAACCTCTAAGACGGATCTCCTGTCAGCAGTACATAATATTGGGGCTATTTAGTGAATTGGATAAAGACCATGTAATATCTCCTGTGGGGCCCTCTCAATGCCATGTTTAAGTGCACAGTTACAGCCAGTAGTTTATCCATGTAGTTTCTTTTTATGTAGTACTTGGGGTGTTGCTGTCTCAATACTTAAGTTCTTTGCCTCCTATACCAAAACATGACCAAAAAATCACCCAGATCACCCATACAAAATTTAGAGCCCGGAGGGGCAACCATTATCTATCCTACATATTCTCATAATATACAATTCTTGCTCCCTCCCAGTATTCCTTTACAACAACCTAAATTATTAATACCTTACTTTGAGTGGCTCTTGGGTCTTGTATTGGGGGAAGAATAGTTATATATATATATATATATATATATATACATACATATATATATTTGATTTAAAAACAGGTTTCTCCCCACTGTGTTGAACCAGATCATAAAATTTGATTATTTATTGTTTGGGAGTAAAGTCACACAAGTGTCAGGAATGATGATCATGTGACTGAATTTATAAAAGTAATGATTCTCTAAGCATTACTTAGATGTCATAAGGATGATGGTATGGGGCACCCAGTAAGGATCAAATTCACTACTCAGTCGTAATTGTTCTAGCGAGACAAGCTTGTTAACCATTACACCAGTGTTTCCCAAAGTGGACGATAGCACCCCCTTGTGGGCTCTGTTATGATGAAAGTGGGCATTGGGAGGTTTTATTTCATTTGGGGGGCAGTGGGCATTTAACAGTTTTTTTTTGGAGGGGGGGTCCAAATTTTCAAAAATTATTCAATATTGGCTACAAAAGGAAATTTCTGAAAGGTATCTAACGCTGTGGAAACTTTTCTTCGTTGCTTTTCCAATTTCCTATATGGTTGAATATGGTTTCAACACAGTTACAGAGATTCTTACTAAACAAAAGAAAGCACCTGCAAATTACAAAACAATGTGATTTACGATTACTTCCAAGAAGCATGGAACCTAGAGTAAGAGCCTTAGACAGTAAGCACTAAAGTCAACCATTACATTGAAAACATTGAGATAAGCTATCAAATAAGTTTGTTTTTTTTTATTGGCATTTATAATAGTGTTATAGAGTAGTTTCACAGAGGAAGCTTGTATTTCACTAAGTCAGTCCTAAAAAGGTTCAATGTACAAAACGTTAGGAACTTGATATAATAGTTAATGACACAGCAATCTAGTTGTGGTGGCTGATACTTTAATGTCCGACATTGACTGACTGACCAACTCACTGAGCGACTCAGCCCGACTGCTACTGCTCCTACTTATTATAGGTGGGAGAGTCTATTAACAATAGAATAGGTGTGTTCCAGTATAACAAATAGAAAAGAAAATTATTTTTGTACTAATATCTAAGTGTTATTTGCCATGAAAGATGAATTCAGTATATTAGAAAGTATGGTAGGTGGTGGGTGTTAGGAAAAAGCTTGTGTCCAAAGGAGGCACTAGTTGAAAAAAGTTTGGGAAAAACTGCATTACACTATGTTGAGGTGATAAAAGTAGTTATGTAGTGAGACAACAAAATGGACATTTGCAATAAATGTCTTATTTATCAACTCAGCAGGAAGAATAACCATTGATCTACTCGAACTGTCACTGCAAAAAAGTCATTCAAATGCCAGGCTGCATGAGAATTTAAAACAAAAAAAAAATGAAAGAATTTCAAGGAAGCAGATTTAAACAGAATCTATCTACCCAAACAATTTTAAAAAAAAACAGTTTAAAAAGACAAAAACACTCAAAATAAATAAAAAGAGTCAAACATATTTTTCTTTTTTGCACTCAGTTATGTGCCATGCATGATACACGCTTAGGCAATCATGTATCTTTTGATACATGACTGACAAGGCAGATTTTTTCCTGCAGTAGGTTACCATTTCTTTCTGTGGTAAACCAGTTGCCACCCAAGGCTATAGAACCTGGTCTGCCCTGCTATTTACCCATAGCTAGGGAGGAGAAGAAAAGGATTCATACCTTTTCCAAGGGTATTATTACTTAAATGAATGGAGCACCTCGGCGTGGTGTAATGGTTAGCAAGCTCGTCTTGCTATGTCAGTTACTACTGAAAAGTGAGTTCGATCCTCACTGGATGCCCCTTGCTTTCGGCCTTGTGCCACATCTAAGCTACGCTTGGAAAATCTTTGGGCACCTTGAGGCGGTGTAATGGTTAGCAAGCTTGTCTCACTAGCACAATTACGACAGAGTAGTGAGTTCAATCCTCACTGGGAGCCCCATACATTCGGCCTTGTGCCACATCTAAGCTATGCTTGGAAAATCGCTACTTAAGTGAATGTAATGGATTTGACTGGAATATGAACTTGATTCTCCTATTACACAATCTGAACCACTATCCATTACTCCACCGTACCTCCAGAATGCTCACCTTTACAAGACCCAAAAGTAGGACGTTATGGAGGGCCACGATCAACCACATCCTGAAGTTACATGATGACATTTAATAAACAGAATAGTTGATTTGGTCAGTAAAACAATAAGATGTTTTTGTTTTGTTTTTTAACTAATGGTCACCTTTCAGTCAGTTATGTGCCAAGTGTGATACACACTTAGGCGATCATGTATCTTTCGTTACATGACTGACGAGGCAGATTTTTTTCTCGCAATAGGTTGCCATTTCTTTCTGTGGTAGACCAGTTGCCATCCAAGGCTATAGAACTCGGTCTGTCCTACTATTTACCCATAGCTGGGGGGAGAAGAAAAGGATTTATGCCTTTCCCAAGGGTATTAGTTAGCACTTAAGTGAATGTAATGGATTTGACTGGAATTTGAACTCAGTTCTCCAATTCCTCAATCCGAGTTGCTATCCATTACTCCACAATGCCTCTTCCTTTTTTTGCTTGACTGATACATAAAGCCAAACCCCAAATCCTAGATTTTATATTCATGACATAAACACATAAATTATTACACCGTAGTTTGAGATGCACTTGGCTGGCCAATATCAAAAATCTATTATAATAACTTTTTTCAGGTGTGTTTGTTCCCAAATGGTGTGGTGTGCCTAATAAGTGTGGTGGAACAGGATAGCAGGTGAGGCAGAATGATTGAAAGACAATCAAAGATTTAGAAACAATTTCCAAAAATTCATATGCCAAAAATAAATACTATTTCAAAATTTAAAATATTTTTATGGATTACTTGTAATTACATGCATGAGTCCCAGTATAAATAGTTATATATCGTTATGGACCAAATTTTATCAGTGTGATATTTTTCATTCTATCAAGTATTAAGAATGTCACAACTAGGGTCTGCATATTGGAGGAAAGAGTTATCAATAATAATGTTCTGATTTCTAATCTGCAGTTATCTCCCTTCAACTCTCTCTCTTTTTTTTTTAAATGTATTTTTTATCAGATAGAATTTGGTGAGGCACCAGCAAATTTTCATTCCAGAAATGTGGCCCAGAGAAAAAAAGTTTGGGAACCACTGGTTCATGCCATTTAATGTACACACAAGAACAAACACATACAATTTTGCTGACCATTAAAATCATTAGGTTGAAGATCCAAAAAGAAAAAGACTTTATTTTTTTAACCCTATAAAATCAGATAATTATAAGGATTTATTGAAATTTTTAGAAATTGTTCAGTCGTGAATAGAATGAATTTTTAGTTTAATTTTGTTAAAATATTTTTTGATTTTTCAATGAATTAAAATATACATACAGATACGTAACGTGCAAAAACACAATCTGAGTGGAACTGAAATGGACATCTGTGTTACGAGGGTTAATTTCACTGTCTAACAATAATCCCTGGGTAGTAGGAAAATAATATTAATAGGTCATGTGGAGGCATTTTCATGACTCCTGTATTTAAATTGAATATATCCATATAATAAATGCGAATGTCACTGTGTCACACTTTTTCAACTTTACTCCTCGAGGCATAATCCAACATATCATACCATTTTGGAATCAGGCCAACTCTGCGAGTAAATTAAAAACATTCCAGGCTGAATCCAGATCCTCAATCCCAAAATTTGGGATTCCCAAGTTTTCATTACTGCAATTGTTTTCAGTGATTTTTTGTGACAAATTTTTTGTACGAGAACAGTTTTTATAACTTAGAAATAAATTTGGGAATAATCGAAATTAATTACGAAATCTACTGAAAGTCACCAATGAAATAAAAATAATTGGTTGTACAGAAAGTAAGGACCTACATACACTAAATTGTCTTTATATTAAGTGGTGGCAGAAGAATTATTGTTGTACTTTTA